CCTCCCATTCTACTTTTAGAAATTCTAGAAACTACTAGTAAACCTTTAGATTGAGAGTGAAGTGCTCTGTTAGGCTTTCTAAAGGAATATTATGATTAACTGTATCAAATGCAGCTCTAGAGCCGGGTTAAAACTCTACAAAAAGTTTAATATATTGTTAGTGGTCACAAACATGTTTGGCAACTGTATTAAAAAGATATCTAGTAATATTCCTATTTTCGTCTATTAATGAGGAGAAATATGCTGCTCTTACTTTATAAAGGGTCTTCTTATACAGCAGTAAACAGTTTTTTCCAGACTAGGTATGATTCCCATAGGCATGCAGAGTGCCATTTTCTGTCTGCAATAAACCAGGGAGCCAGCTTTGTATTTTTTTTTAGTTTTTCACTTCTCTATGCACTGCTTTGTTTATCATAAAATCTAAATAAAATATGCTAAATCTTGTGGTTACTTCATGAAAAAATATGTAAAAATCCAAGAGGTATTGATACTTTAATGCAAATAGAAATTTTACAGTAAATAGTTAATAAAAAAATTTGAAAATTTCTTTATTAATTTTTTGGAATAAACAATAACAGTTATCTATTTAAAAAAAAAGAAAAAAATTTGCTTAAGTTTTGGCCTCACGCTGTATAATGAATTACCCCATCCATAGAACAATGCATTTTGAGATTATCATGTGACAGCTGTGCTCCAAAGATAGATGTGCAAAGCGTACACATGTGTCTGCCTCTAACACCTATGACCATTATTTCAGTCTTTTTCACCGGAGCAGCAGCTGTGTAGCAGTCTCCGTCTATAACAACAAGATATTTGTGCACTGATCCCTTAGCTGTTGTCATGCAACACCCATAAGTTCTCAAGGGCACACTTTTTAGACAATGTCATCAACATAATGTCTACTGTCTGCTCCAGATAAATTAAAATCCACAAATGTAATAGTTAAGATGCTGAAATTAGATTACTTACAGATTTCTAACTATAATATGAGAAATAACCAGAAAACTACATGAATAAATAATTTAAAAAAATAACAATTACCCATAAAATGATATGCTATGAGTTTTATGCAACCATGTCTTTAAGAGATACAAGCCAAGAAATAGATTATTGATGGATTCAAGATTAAGGATTATGTTCATGGGGAAGATGCTTACAAGATTGTGGATTTCTTACTTTCAGACCTGTGAGTAGTCTGCATTTATATGAAGCTTTTACACAATTTCCTCCTTTCTCTGCCAGACACTCACACACGTCAACACACACTCTCTCTCTTCCTATCTCTGTTGAGCACATCATTATCTTGCCAGAGGACACATCTTCATGCGCACCGAGAAGTCAGAGATCAAACCACTGACCTTTTAATCAGTGGATCATCGCTCTGTCTCCTGGGACACACCCACCAAAGGCATGAATCCTGACTGTAACCTAAAATTGTTGCTGTATTCTAACCTTGAATGGCCAGAGAACATCCTCCCCAGTGCACCAGCAATCTGTTGTCTGGTTCTGCAGTTCAGCGTATCTAAGTCAATGGGTGCACCTGCTACTGCAAATGTGATAAGTCCATCTAGAAATAGTAAAGGTTTCAGGCTTGTTGGCTTCACGGTATACTGCAAAAGTGTAAAAGAATAAACACACTGCCCTAACAACCCTTTCTTTAAGGTTGCATGCTAGGGTTGTAATGTTACTGAATGCCATTTAAATTCAGCAGCATGTTTTATTCTTTAATTATTTCTGTAAAAAAATAAATATTTAATGTATGCAAACTATATTTTTATTTCTTTAATGGGGCAAAGTCATTCCAGGTGATGACACTGTTGTCTTTCTTTGCTGTGTTCTGCACTCACTTCTGGATATGATATGATAGCAGTTCAGTATTTTGTTTAATCTTGTCCAGTTGGATGATGGGGAATATTCTTTCAAAAATTCCTCTTGTGTTTTCTTGTGGGGAAAAAGGGCATCCTTTTTATTCTCTGGTATAAATCAACATGGTTGCAGACTTTAAAATTGCTGAGTGATGATTTGGGCAAACATAAAGGGGTCTGTTTAAATAGTTTTGGACACAAATAAGAATATTTGGTTAATACATTTCGTATAATCAATTATATGGATATATTAGCTATTTTGACAACTGTCTGGATACTAATAAAGCATAACTTTAGATGTTTAACTGCACAAAATGTACGTAGTTATATAAATTGATGAACTGAAATGTATGACATAAAACAGCTTTTCAGCATTTAAAAAAAGCTTTTCAGAAGACCTATATTTTCTTCCAATGCTCTATATATCTATCTTCAACAAAAAGAGTTTCGTTTCATTCTAAATCTTATGGTAGTGCAATTTTATATTAGAAACAATATTCTTTCCCACTGTCAGTCAAGTGAGCATAGATTTGATTACAGCTCAGACAATCACCTTGCCTTTAGCTGTTTGCAAAAGGTGTAATCGGAATCCAGTGATGTTAAACAAGGGTGACAGAAATCTCTTTGGGGAAAAAGGGGAGGGTGAGTCGACCAGCCACATCATTCAGTGTGTTTTGTTATAGAACACAACATTTCATATGCTCATGAAATAAAGAAACAAACAAAACAAAATCGCTTCTGCTGATAAAATTTGTTAACAATTTAGGTTTGTATAGAACCAGAGAAAGTGGATAATTTCTTTTATTATTATTCAGGGTAAAATTTAAACACCACCGTAAAAATTAAACAAACAAAAAGAAAAAAAAAAAAATGTGTCAGTAATAAATCGTATATCCTTGATAAACTTCATATGCTTCTTCTTTAAGTAGTGTCACATCAGTCAGTAAGATACAGCAATAGCTTAATCTATCAAGGTAAAACTGATCCTGTATTCAATGTTTTGTGCCAGTGAATTAATATATATATATAAAATTTAATATATATCTAAAGAGATGCAAGAAGAATACAATTGCAAAAATAAACATAGTTGGTTGCATAAATCCTTCCAATGCATATACCGACTCAGAATCAGATTTATTGCCAAGTAGGTGTGCACTTACAAGGAATATGACTTGGTGTTAATGGTGCACACAAATTAGATATATATACAAAGAATACAGAACCATAGCTCAATACAATATAAAACATACTATATACTATATACAATATATTTAGGTTATAGCCATATACCATGGATAGCCAGCAAATTTGATAGTAAAGAAAACTTCATTCTTAATGTCCCTCATCCTGCTAATTCTCACGTATTTTAAAATATGTTTGATTAGAAATGGTGAACTCCCTGTGCTCTCCAGTGCTTTTCCTATAGATTTGTTGCAGATTTGTTTGGTCTTCAAGAGCTATTTTTATACAGTTAATTCATGTAGAATTAGTCTTTAATAGAATAAAGCAACTAATAATGGCATGAAATAAATAATGATAATGAAAGAATACTTTTTTGTAACTCATAGAATAATTTCTATGAAATCCTATCAACTGTAACAGACAAATTACAATGAATTGTAAGTAAGAGAAAGGAGGATTAAAAAAATGCACACCCTACATTCAGAATTTGTTTTCATAAATAACATTTTGCAATTAAGTACTTCATTTTGTAAGTTCTTCAGACCAAAGTTACAATAAAAAACACAGTGAGCTGAAGCTGAAGGAGCATTTTGAAAACTAAACCACATCAAGATCTTTTTAATATAGCGAATTCAGTATAATTCTAGTTCCATTTTACTCAAAGGTCTCAGAGTGAGCCTATTATTGATGGCACCATTATCTGTGCAGCTGTAATCCTAAACAGGGCCAAATCATAGCTTCAAAAGCACACTGTTTAACCCTCATTTTCTTAAATTAAAGGCTTTTTCCATGTAAGGTCCAAAATTGCCAGAATGACTGGAACAAAGTGTACATTTAATATTAGTGTGCAACAGAAAGAGGGACACAGTGTTACCTTTTCTCATCAAACTATACTGTTTATATTGTACTGTACTGCCTCACATCACCACTCAACCTGATCAAGGAAAGTGGCGTTTTGCAAAATTCTTTGCAAAAATTAAAATACCTCTCTCTCTCTCACATACATACATATATCTATATATATATATAGATATATGTGTGTATGTGTGTGTGTATATGTATATATATATATATATATATATATATATATATATATATATATATATATATATATATATATATATATACAGTATGTATGTATATATGTGTATATGTATGTGTATATGTATAGTATATGTCTGTGTGTACAGATATAATTAGAATATACCGAAGTGAAACTAAAGAACAGTGGTTAAAATTATATTATTTTCTTCTCAATAGACAGCAGAAGCAGACAAATAGCAGGTGCAGGTAAAAGTTAACATCCATTATGCAATGCTATTTCCCTCCTAACATGCATCACAGTTTGATGTATTTTCCCATACTGAATTAATGTTTCTGAGACATCCCCAAACCCCCAAGCTAATAGATGAGGCTCAGGTTTCTATCTGGCCTAGATTATCTGCTCAGAAGAAAATATGGTTTTATCAGGCTATTGTTTGCCATGGAGTTTTGCAGCATCACTGGACAGTAAAGTCTGAAGAACTTATTCACTAAGATATAAACAGAGGAAGTTTTTAAAGTTTTCGGAAGGTTGTGACTGAAATCATCTTACAAAGAAAATATATCAAATATGGACTACAATGTGGTGATTCTGTCTCCCAAAGATAAATTGTCATCCAAGTGCACAACATTTTTCTTTTCTAATTGCTGAGTCAGGATAGAAGACAACACCATTCTTTGAGCAAAGTTACAAACTGTGCGTTGTCATCCTAACCCTAGGATTATTTTGTCAGAATCTATATTTAAGAATGTCTTGCTTTTACTTAGTCAAGCTAAGTTACCATTTTCTTTAATGAAATTTCAAACCAGGCTGGAGTTATGATATAATAAACTAATATAAATAAACTAATATAAACTATAATAAACTAATATCACATCATATAGTCTTCCTTGACTCTGTAATGCCATCAGACTGGGCCGACCCGGGGTGGACTGCTACTGTCAACATGAGAGCGGAGCCGCTGTTCTTCAACTTCAGTTTCTCATTAATGAGGTAAGCCTGAATCTATGAAACACATTTAAAAGCTTTTTCTTTTCATTGTTTTACATTTTATTTGTTTTTCTTGAAACCCAACCTCAGTTTTTATGTATGCTGTGAGACAGAGTCTTATTTGTCTTATTCAAAGTCCACTAGGGTGTGAGTAAGACAAATGGGATTATGTCTTATTAATTTCCAGTCAACATGTCTTTTATCCCCTTTGCATACTTTCAGTATGTGCAAGAGTTGCTTTTTTAAGTATATGCTGATTAAATGTAGTGTACTAAGACTTGTACAGGGAAACAGCATGTTGGATAAACATATAAAAACTGTACATTACAATATAAAAATGATTTAAATATTTATGTAAAAACGCCTCCTGGTACATTATTTTGACTTTGTTATCTAACTAGATTTTCCAAATATGTTCTGTATTGGATATGTAATTCTAAGAATTATCATGCACACCAATGAGAGGTAAAATCTTTGCAGAGCCCCAACTGTGTGAATAATTATTTTGCAAATATTTTCCCTCTGAAAGTTTGCATATCCATTTGTCAAATTCATTTATGCTTAATTGGAAATTACTAATTCATTCAATGCAAAACAGCTTTAATCCATCCCCAAGGGTGCAATTACATGGTAAGCAAGGAAGAAAAGAAGTCACACTAAATGGAAAGCTGTTGAAAATGTACAATTGCACTAACCACTCACTCTTTTGACTTACCAAACTATCTTCAGACCAAACTAAGCTCATTGATTAGATGCATCCAACCCTTTCTGTATGAATACAGCTGGTAAAGATGTATACTTCTTTCCATTTTTTTTTATTTCATTCACACAGAGCTTTTTAATACCATTGTAGTTCTGTTTCATAAAAATCTTAGAGAAAAAAATCAGGGAAACTATAAAAAGCAGGATAAACAATGTAAACAGAGAGGGGTAATAAGGTTTTTACTGATGTACTATAATCAGGGCATACAATCAATCCCAATTCTTTTCTAAACTGTGTTGCTAATTTCTAAAATATAAACTCTAAGACAGATTTTTAGAGTTGGCGGGAAATGTCACCAATATGGAAATCAGTTGGAAGCAGTCCATGCTACATTACAGTCTTTAATCCCATGATTAAATTTGTAATCTAAGGCTAATTCTCCCTGGGCTCCAGTCTTTTGAGATGATGTTCTGGTAGCACAGCCGCAGTGGGATTCAACTGTAATAGCAATTTTCTTAAGACGTTGGGCTGACGCCATGATATCACTAATATCATGTGACTTTACCATGAATTTACTTTTCTCATTATGAAGCTGGTATTAACGTTTGCTGGTCTTACTTTGCATTATTAACATTTTTGGTCATGCTAATTCATTAATTTATTCATGAAGGAAGGAAGGAAGGAAGGAAGGAAGGAAGGAAGGAAGGAAGGAAGGAAGGAAGTATACAACAACCAATGTAGAATAAAAACAATTAAATATGAAAGATTACTACCAAATGATAATAAGAAACACACGTTTATTAAACAAATAAGGTAAAAAAAATTAAAGGGAATAAATCAAATAAAGTAAAGTCTCAGGATCTTTTCTTTTTTTAATGATTGATAATGCAAATATTCTTATATTACATGTAATGTCTGCCTAATAGCAGAGCTGAAGGATGTATTGTTTTTTCCATCATGTCTAGCAGTATAGACACCACATCCCTTTCCATAACTAGAACTATGGGCTCTGAGCCAGTAACTATGACAAAGCAAGTGTTTTTCATTCTATTGTTTAGTTTCTTTGATCAATGATGCAGACAAAACAGACTGTGGGTAGAAAACCTCTCTACCAGAGACTGATAAGAGAAGCAGTTATGGAAACTTTTAAATGTCCTTTGCCTTCATGCTTCTAAATTGTAGATCAGACAAACAATTATCTTGGTATTAATCTTCTCTTTAAAGATCAAAGATATTTGCTAAATATTTTTGTTCTTTGTGGAAAGTCACTGACTGTAGAGTTATTTGAGTTATTCCTGTGGACTCAGAGATGCACTGGGTGTCTAAGTTCTGTGGAATAAAGAGAAAATGTATCTGTGCTGCACCTACTTTTTGATCCACTCAATTCTTAGATGACACAAGCTGTGCTTTGTCTGTTAAGGAAACGAGTACAGTACCTGTGCTGCGTGAAGCTTTTCTTATTACCGGTACCTGTTATTTGATCTTAAAAGCATTAAAGCTTGTGGTCCAAAAATTTGCCACAATGGTCATTAGTGGTACATTTAGATGCTTGGAATGGTTACTCATAAAACATTTGGACAGAAATGTATCCTTAATATAAGAGGAAATTGATTAATTGTGAAGAAAAACTGGTAGCACTCAAACAGATAAGCTTTTCTAGAACTGTTTTGCTGCATTAAAAAAAAATTTAAGGGGAAAACAGTAAAGCAAAAACAGTTGCTGCTGTTTAGCAATGCCAAGCCCAAATGACGTATGAGGCTTAAACTTGAAAGACTTCCAAACCATCTTAAACTCTGTTCCAGGTCCAAGTTTGAAAGCCAGTAGGATTTGCTACAAACAAACATGGAAATCTGGCTTACTCCTGACAATACAAACTGATGGAAATGTGTTGTTCTACATTTTGTGCTTTGCAAATTGTAGCAATGTGAGCAGATTTCTTGTGCTATACATTTTCTGCATTAGTTATTTTTTTATGAAAATACATGTTTTGTTGCAGTTTTTTGTTTAGGTTTTTTTAGTTAGTTTTTTTAGTCTGTCATTTTCATTGCATTTTGAGATCAGGGTCATTTGTTTATTTGCTTAATTAAATTCACGCTTAAATTTACTATAGTTTAGATAACATGAGAAAAAGCAGGCCATTTAGAACGGAGACAGGAAATTAATGAAGAGTATACAGAAGGAACTTAAGTTCAAGATAAGAGGAAGCACGGAGGCATACAGGAAATGGCTGGAAAACAAACTCTTGCAGAACAATGACAGGGATGAAGAAGATCAGAGGCTTTAAGCAGAAGGATGATCAGACAGATGGAAGTCTGGACAGAGCCGATGAACTCACTACATTCTTCAGGAAAAAATCTCAGCATCTTTCTGTCCTGCCCTCAGTCACATGGACATCCAGCCCTCCTCTGCCATTGATTCTCTCCTGCTTCTATTAGTTTGTTATCAGCCAAATCAGAAGGTGATGTTGCTCCCTCCACCTTTCACCTGTCTATCTCTAGAAGTCAAGTAAAGAGGCAATTGGAGAGACTGAATCAAAATAAGTCACCAGGTCCTGATGGTGTCCGCCCCATAGTCCTGAGAGCCTGTGGGATTCTACAGCATCTCTTCACCTTTAGTCTGACCTTGGAGACAGTTCCAGTGATATGGAAGACCTCCTTCCTTGTTCAGGTGCTAAAGAAGACTCAGCCAACAGTCATCAGTGGCTATAGACCTGTTGCCCCAACATCCCACATCATGAAGGTCCTAGAGAGACAGCTATGAGGACCCCCTGTTTTCTTATCGCTGTGGAGTTGGAGTAGATGATTCCATCATACACCTGCTTCAACAAACCCACTGTCATTTAGATAAGGCAGACTACTGTGAGGATCATGTTCTTTTGTGTGCATTTAATACTATTTAGCCTGACTGACTTGTGAGAAACGTCAGTTGTAGGGATCAACTATCACCTGGAAAGACTACCTGACAAACGGACCACAGTTTGTTGGACTGAAGGGTCAGCTGTCTAATCAAGTAGTCAGCAGCACAGGAGCGCCAAAGGGGCCAGTACTCTCTCCAGTCCTTTTTACCCTGGACATGTCTGACTTTAAGTACCAGAAAGAGTCCAGTCATCTGCAGAAACACTCAGATGACTCTGCAATCATTGGTGCATCAAAGATGGACATGAAGCTGAGCACAGAAAGTTGGTGAACCGCTTTGTGGCATCTGATCCTGAATGTCAACAAAAAAAGGGAGATAATTGTAGATTTAAGAAGAAACAAGAGCAAGTTGAAACCCTTTAACATAATGGGAGTAGAAGTGGAGGTGTTTGAGGAGTATAAATACATTGGTGTTCAATTGAACAACAAACTAGACTGGAGACACAACCATGAAGCCGTCAACAAGAAGGGATAGAGCAGAATATACTTCCTAAGGAAGCTTACAGTAGGTCCTTAATGTTATAATGTTTAATGTTATGATAATGTTTCAAAGCGCAAAAGTCAGTGACCTAATTTCATTTCTTTTTGAACTGCATATCTTATTCATTGGTATTTACATTGTGGAGTATACATGATCAAAAACTTGAGTTTCAGAAATACTTGTAGAAAGTGTCCCTCAAAGTTTTAAACTGTATATAAACTATCTATTTTAGAAACGGCTTTCACTTTCCTAATCCTAAATCTAGCATAACACTCTTAATTTGTATTCTAAAATAATATTACTGGCTTAAATTAAATGTGTACCTTTGACCTCTGAGGATTTTTTTCACTTTTCTACAAAAACAACTAACAGAACGTCACTTAAAGGGGTCATATAATGCAAAACAGAGTTTGCATTGTCATAGATGACTAACGATAGTTCAGTGGGTGAAATGGACATACAGACAAGTTCAAACACCATTGACACCTCCTTTCTCTGCAAATCTCACAATTCTAAACTTCCACAGTAAAACGGGCGAATTCAAACAAAGCACCAAATTGACGTCAATTCGGGGATTTTGCCTTATTTGGTTCTGGCCTGTACTTTTGTCACGCCCCAAAATTGACATACAGACCACCCCACTGGTTCACTGGCCCAAAGGAGGGGGGCGTATTAAGTATCGACTGCTGGGCCGCTGACTGGACCGTTGCACTGTAGTCGACCAAAATCACGAATTTGAAATTCCCCCGGACATTTTTTTAGGTATGAAAAGTAGGACATGTTCGGGAAAAAGAGTATGCCTGGTCACCCTACCATATCAACAATTTTGATGTTTCATTGAGTGAGTGCTTGTTGCCATGATGATTTGCTCAGCAGCTTTGCTCGTTGTAAACCAACCAAGCAGCGCACAGCTCATCTAAATTTTCATGAGCATACCATAAAAGGAAGGAAACCTGTCGTTTCATTCTAGGGCTTAGCAGGCTTGCATTAGGGCTCATAGAACAGCAAATATGCCATTTTCAGACCAACCAATGTTACACACCATATTCAGATACCTTAAGGACCGACACCAAATACCCTATTTAATAATTCTATGACCGCTTTAAAGCAAAGTAAATTATCCCTTTAAGCCAAAAGTCAATAAACTTGCTCTACTTGTGCACAAAACTTCTATTAAAATGTCTTTCTTTTGTTCCTTAGGGGGCACTGGTAACAGCCTGTGCAGACGACACACTACACTTGTGGAACCTCCGCCAGAGACGACCCGCTGTCTTGCATTCACTCAAATTCAACAGAGAGAGGTATGCAAAGTGCCAGCTTGATTTATAGACATCTGATTAGCACAAACATATATTTACTAACACTGAGTAAACACAAACTTCACACCTTTCATTTATCTCGGAGTTTGGATTGTTTTCACCTTTTTTGAGAAATCCGACCCAGTGACCAAAGATTTTTACTGACTTCCTGTGTAAAACTGAAATTTACTTACCTATCATGCCGTACCAGAAGATTGCTCTACCAGCCTTGCTGCTTTGGTTGAATAAAGGTTTTTAATATAATTTAATTAAATATTTCCAATGCTTTGATTCTGGGAGAGAGATTAACCTTTTGCCTGCTTTGGTTGTAAATGCACAAATCCCAGAGATCTCTGTGTTCCTTTGCCTTGGAACCACATAAAGGAAGTTTCTACCCCAGTGCTACATACTGCCTTTTTATGAAGGTCTGTATAGCAAAAAAATATTAAATAAATAAATAAACTTTCATCAAAAAGAAAAAAGGAAAAAAAGCTATCCTTGTTTTGGTAATGGTACCCTGGTCATTTGAAACATGGTGATGCTTGACTACAACTTGATATTGCTGGTATCAAATGTGAAGCCTTGTATAGGAGGTTGTATTGAGAACACAACTGTGGCCCAATAATAAAAATAATCCCCAAAAATACAACTTGCCTAATAATTCTGCACACAGTGTATCTCTTCAGGGTCCTAAAGCTAAAAAAGATAGGATTTTGCTGTTGTACTTCTAAATACTTTTCCTAAAACAAAAGGCGGTTCGTGTTGCAAAAATAATGGGCCATTGCAGAGTCCTGACTCATTATGCTAAACTTTTTATGACACAAGTTAACAAGAAGTCAACAAGTTAATTTATTTACGTGACTTATGTTGTTCTCAGTTAAAACACTACTCTGGGATAAACCTTTGAAAACCTCATCTTATTTTGGTCACCTTGCATCTTAAGAAACAGTCATGTTTTTTTATCATTTGAATATCAAGACAACATGCATTGGTTTTAGTCACTGTATCTTTGTTGAATCTGAATATTTTTTTTTTATCTGTCAGCAGTTTTTTTGAGAGCACTCTCAATCTTGTGCTCTGCACGAACATCTTAAGCTCCTCTAAAAAAAACTCTATAGTGACATAACAAGAATCATTTAGTTCATAGTTAGGTTCACCAAGGGTGCTGGGAAGGTAATCTGGGATGCATACAGAAAGCAGTTCCCTCTCTATGACACCAGATGTAATGTAATAATTTAATTTCTACATAGAGGCTGGTGGAAATAGCTTAAGGAAGAACATGATGTAAATCCTGTGGCTTTGGGGCGAAGGAGCCTATTAGCAGGAGTATCTGCTTATTCTAGCAAATTTAAAACAGAATTGACCCAACAAGCCTTTTGCCAAAACCCAACTTAATCATGTCCAAACAGGGCTGCTAGAGCTAAAAATAACTACTGTGAGCAACAAGGAGAGCCATTACATACAGAAAAAATGAAAGAGTGGTGACCCTTTGCAGACCAAAATTACTCCAACAGTGCAACAGCATCTCATTCAGGATGTTGCAAAGAACCGGAAAAGCATCTAAATCACACCAGGTTTCACTTTCCATTGTTAAAGGATAGGGTTCATTAATGAAAAAACATGGTTTGTGTACTGCTTTGCTGCCTTAAGACCTAGATGTAATGCTTTGATTTATACAACAGTGAGTTCTGCTTATACCAGGAAATCTTTAAGAGAATATTCAGCCATCATTTTGTGACCTTATATCCAAGCACAGTTGAGTTTTTGATGCCTGATAATAATCAAAAGTACACAATCAAGTTGGCCTCCAAATGTCTAAAAAAGCAAACTGTACATTTTGGAATGATGTCTGAACCTAAGAATGATGAGAATGTATTTTTTAGGAGGCAAATACTCAAATATGGACAGCTTGCTTTTACCTTAATAAATGAAATAATTAATTGAAAACAACATATCTATGTGTACAAGGTCCTTATCTGATTTCAACATTTTTTTGATTCAACCAAAATCAAGGCAAACGTTTGGAGGCAACAAAGATCAAGATGAAACTTGATTGATGCAAATGATCTGACCAAATGCTGTGGAAAATTGTTTGTATACGTAATTAACTGATGCTCTGTAAGAAGTAAGACTCTAATTGGTTAGGGGAAATACATGATTAACAAAAAACAGAGAGAAAAAAAGACAAAAATTTAAGCTCTGTCAGAATCCATCAACCATGTGTTTTGCTGTCTGTCAAAAAGCAAAGCCCTTTTATTCAATGCAACAATTCTGTTTCCATGGTACTGCGGCATGGCTGAGATGGAGATCAAGTCTATATCTGATGATTAATGATTAACTTGAGTTCAACATTAACATTTTTAACTACCAGGTGCTTGTGCTGTAATCCATGCTATGTTTTGACTAATTATGAAATCAGTCTTAACAGTAGAAGTCAAGATAGCTGGACATTTTGAAAGAAATTGGTGTTTGTCAAGCTTTTATGCTTGTCGGTCGAAGACAAAGGAGAAAAAGAAGAAGATATGTAAATAGTGAAGGGTGTAACTGGAAAGGTGTTATTTTTTAGGCTGAACACCTAAGAGGCGTTTTCTGAGAAAATCTTCTTTAATTTTTTTTTTTTAAAACCCAAAGTGGGAAATTTTTAAAATGTTGATATGATGATTTTGCTCATACATGCAAGCTTTGTGGGGTTTTTTTATGATGACGTTTTACCATCTGTAACCAGCATGCGTGTCTTGGTCACCACATTGTTGTGTTAACCATGCATGTGTCCGTGCTTTTCACAGCCCTTTTGATGTGATTTGGCAGTATCACAGCTCCACCAAAGTCCCCGGCATATGTACTACAGCTTCCTCAGTGTTTTTTTTTCATCTTTTAAAATATATTTATGAGATTTTCTGTCCTTGTGCACTGAATCAATTTTAGAGTCACAATGTCACTAGCTTTCAAATTTCTTTCAACACAAAAGTGTACCCACAACATTTTATGACATTTAACTTCAGTTATCTGATGACAACATTCTTCTTTTTCTAACAGATGACCTTCAAAAAGATGCACTTGCAAAACTTTTTTCAACTGATAAAAAATAAATTTCCATTTTGAAAGGAAATGGACATGCTGGCTTAAAATGCACTATAATAATATCCAGTATCATATATTTTTAAATTTGTAAATGTAATTTGGTATGAGTAAGAAAAGTTAGCAAGTAAAACTTGTCAGTGACAATATGAGATCAACAGATAACTAAACATTAATCTTTCTGATTTATAGCTCTGCATCCCTAAAGGCATCATATTCTCCCACTCAATCTTTCAGGGGTAGAGACATATTTTCTTTGTTCATAAAGACACTTTGATGATGCTTTTGAAGACTGACTGTGATGAGATATTTCAAAAATACAAATGTTTCTGAGTAGGAGCAGACAGTACAGAAATCACTCATCAGTACATGCATTCAAACAACGAATACATAAGCCGCAAGGGGTCACCTCATCATCTAAGCAAAGACTGGCAGTTTCTAAAGTTCTCAACAGCAAAAGTAATGCAAGAATGACTCATAATGATGGTATGCAGAAGGTTGAGTGCTCAAGAGTTTGTTTTTAATTAGCAGAGCACAAATATTTCAGGACTAGCGTTACAGCAGTCAAGGTGGGAAAATGGGGAGACATTGTTACATGTGTTTGAAGTATTAGTTTACTTAGAATAACCTAGAGTTTGATTTATACTTTGTGTTTAACACAAAACCGCTTCTTATAGGAAATCCAGGGACAGAGAATGGTGTTAGTTTTAAGATTTTCATTTTAGTCATTAAGTTTTTTTTTCTTATAAAATCTGTTAGAGGAGGAGGGGTAAGTCAATTTAAAACTTTAAAAACAAGACACGCATCCAAAAGCTGATGATGTTCAAAGTAAAAAATGTTGTACTAAATTAAATTACAATAATGATAACATAAAGGGTTTTAGTCAAGAACTTTCTGAGTTTTCTTGAAGAAAGACTGTAGGGGTTTCAGAATGGCCTTTGAAATTGATTGGACAAAGGGTGATTGAAATAAATTAGAAACTATTTCAGACAATAGAATTGATAAAAAAAATAGCTCTCTAGTATTGACCACTTTCATAGATAAAACAGCTACATATTTATGATTTGAAACAGTAGAGCTATGAATTGATGTACCGTATTTACATTTGAGGACAAATACCAATACTGAGCACATTTCCATACCGTTCCATACCCATTAATTTTTTTTTACATTTTTACATGTTACAAACTCAAATGCCAGAGTATTTTATTGGGATTTCATTTGATAGACCTAATCAGCATGTAAAGCTGAAACTGTAAAGTTGAAATATTAAAAATGTAAATGCTTTTCAACATTTCTTTTACAAATGAAAATCTTAATTAAATGAGGAATATATTTTAGTCATTTTAGAGGTTCTGGTAAATCATTAATGATACAACAGAATTATATGCACTAAGCAATATACTTGACGGGTCAACGTTAATAGCTTAAAGCAAATTTGATTATGAAATAAGTTAAGATTTGAAGCAGGCACATCTGACAACCAAATATTGAAAGGAACTCTTCAATTTCAACCTACCGATACAATGTCATCTAAACTGAGAGGCTAATCAGGCTTAGCAATGCTCAGTATACCTAAATGGAAAATGGTAACTCCAAAGAAACTTAATGAATTCACTAATGTGTCATTATAAAAAGACTTGTTTGTGGATAGTCATATGTGTTTTAGGGTTAACAGCTTACATTTTGAAGCTAGTATTTCTTTGGCTACATTATGAGGGATTTTTTTTTTTTTTCTGGTGGGAACCTTAGGAAACTTAGGAAAATTAGGTCAGATTTCATGGGGAGACTGACTGATCCAGACAATGGGCAAACCTTGAGGAAAACATCTTATAGCCTGCAAAGACTTCAAACTGGGTCAGAGATTCACTTCCCAGGATTACAACAAAAAGTTTAGATCTAAAGCTAACTTAGGATGTGTCAAG